AAAGGGCAAAACTTCAACGTCTCACGTCCGCCTTTGAAACCCTTTTTATGCGCGACGATGAGACGTTCGATGAATTTTATGCAAAACTCAGTGATATCGTGAATTCCTATTTCACTCTCGGTGAGAAAATCCCGGAAGCAAAAGTTGTTGGAAAATTTTTGAGGTCCCTTCCCAAGAGGTTCCAACCAAAGGTGACAGCCATTGAGGAGGCTCAGAATGTTGATACCCTCAAGCTCGATCAATTGGTTGGAAATTTGCAGACTTATGAAGCCCACCAAATTTCTAAGAAAAAGCAAAAAGAAAATATGGCTTTCACGAGTGCCCATGAGACTGCAAAACCTCCGGAGACTGAATTTGATTTAGAGTCTGAGATGACGGCTATGCTTACAAAACAGTTTAAAATTTTTTTGAAAAAGAAGTCGAATTTCAGAGTCCCTATTTCAAAAAGATAAGAGTAATGACAAACCCAAAACTGTTTCCACCAAAATTTGCTCAAACTACTGAAAAAAAGATTGTAAGGGGATCAGGGGTCAAGTGTTATGAATGCCAAGGGTTTGGCCATATGTCTCTTGAATGCCCTTCGAAAAGAATCGGAAGAAAGTCTACACCGTAACTTGGGATGATGGAAAGCGGGTCGGAGCAAGACCCGAAGAACCTGAATCGCGGTGAAGATGGGGATAGTGCATTCATGGCATTTTGGGCCACGGTTTCTCAACCTATTCCAAAGCCTTTGGAATCAGCTCGTGGCCAGAACCTGCATCATGGTCCCACCTTTGATGGGGCTAACTATCTGTTTTGGAAAATCAGAATGAGGGCTTTTCTGAGAGCCTTTGATCCAGAAGGCTGGCAGGCCATTGAAGAAGATACAGAATGTTGACAGTCCGAGCAATCTGAGAGCCCTTAGCACTATTCGTAGAGCAATTTCTGCTGAAGAACAGCAACGGGTTGTTCGTTGCACAAAGGCTAAAGAGGCATGGGAAATTCTGAGCCAATTCCATGAAAGAGAAAATTTGCCTTCACTATCATCCAGCAACCTTCCTGTTTAGTTGCTAGACTGGATGAGGTCAAGGAGAATGAAGAGCAAAAAGAGGATGATGAAACATCTGAGGATAATGATGAGATCAATGGCGATGAACTACAACAAGCCTACGAAAAGCTGTACGAGGAATCTTTGAATCTGTCCAAACTCAACGACAAAACTCTCCCTCAAGCTAAAGACATGTGAGAGTGAGAAATGTCAGACTGAAAGAAGAACTTGTAGCAGCAAAGCAGAATATCGTCAAGATCTCGAGTGATGGCAAGACTTATGTGGTAAATTACTATCCTGTGAAACTGAAAGGAATGAACTTCTGAAGGTGTATTCTACATATGAAGAAAAGCTTAAAAGTCTTGAGCTGTCACAAGCCAGATTGGAAGAGATAGTCGGTCAAAAGGATGAAGAGCTTCGGGTTGCTAGAGCCACTATTGCCATGTGGAACAAAGGTTCCAAATCTTTAGAAGACATCCTCGGGTCTCAACAAATGGGTTGCGACAAAAGCGGGTTAGGCTATGGTGGCAACAGCTCACAAGGGTCAGGCCTCTACTTCACATGACAAGAAGATTCAAGCAAAGGGAAAATTGAAGGTAGACCAGACTGATCTCTCTCTCCGTCTACCTAAAGCTGGTAAAATCAACAAAAAGGAGGTAAAACCAGTTTTTTATTTGTCATCACTGTGGTAGTATGGCCACATTCGTCCTTACTGTTTTGAACTGTTTGGTAAGGTGTCTCAAAAGGGTAGAAATTCTAATACTTTTTTGGGTTAGGAGACAACCTTACATGTCTAGGCTGAACACCAAGACTAAAGATTTGGATTAGAAAAAAGGATTTGACTTGTTTTGTTGCTCACACTGCTCTAAAAGCACGTGATTCACACATGTGGTATCTTGACAGTGGGTGTTCTCGTCATATGTCCGGTAACAAATCTACTTCACCTCCCTTTGAAAAATATGAAGGAGGAATTGTACGTTTTGGAGATGGCAGCACTTCGAGAGTCATTGGTAAGGGCTCTATCAGTGTTACTGGTCTTCCCAAGCTAGATAATGTTCTACTAGTTGATGGTCTTAAAGTAAATCTTTTAAGCATTAGTCAAATGTGTGATTCCCATCATGAAGTATTGTTTTCAAAAAATAAATGTGAAATTTTGGATAAAAAGGGAAATACTGTCTTACATGGGGTCCGCACATCTGATAACTGCTATGGGATTGTTACTACTAATGATCTCACTTGTCACTCTGCCATCATTATGTAACATTGATTTGTGGCATCAAAGATTAGGTCACATGAATTTAATGACCTAACTAAGATAGCCAACAAAGAGCTTGTGAGGGAATACCTAAACTAGGTAAGAATTTGAGCCATGTGTGTGGACCATGTCAGCTTGGCAAGCAAACCCGTGCTCCTCATAAAAAGGTGAACAGCTTTACAACCAAACGTCCTCTTGAATTGGTTCACATGGATTTAATGGCCCTACTCGCACTGAAAGCATCGGAGGTAAAAGATACATTTTTTAACTGTTGATGATTTTACTCGATTTTTCGTGGGTAAATTTTTTAAGGGAAAAATCTGATACGTTTGATGCTTTCCAGGCTTAGTCCCTAAAATCCCAAAATGAACAGGGTGCTTCATTGGGCGTATCATAAGAATCCGAACTGATCATGGTCGTGATTTGAAATAGTTTGTTTTCGGATTTTTGTGATATGCATGGAATCAAGCATGAATTTTCTGCTCCTATTACTCCACAACAAATGGAGTTGTTGAGAGGAAGACAGGGTTGTTCAAGAAATGGCTAGGGTCATGCTCCTTAGTAAGAAACTTCCTCCTAAGTTTTGGGCTGAAGCCTTAAATACTGCTGTTTATGTCATAAAATCGCGTGTATCTAAGGCCCGGCACTTTACAAACTCTATATGAATTGTGGAAGGGTTTGAACCTAATGTAAAATACTTCAAAACTTTTGGGAGTAAGTTTACATCTTCAAAGATAGAGAGCCCTTGGGCAAATTTGACTCCCGAAGTGATGAAGGTATCTTTCTAGGGTATTCAACCACTAGTAGAGCTTTTAGAGTCTCTATAACCTGCGAACTTCATCTTTAATGGAATCTATCAATGTGGTTATAGATGACACAAGGTGCTCCTACTCCAGCAACAAATGAGGAATGATAAGATGAGTCTCCCAATCTTGGACACGGAATCACAAAATCAAGGAGAAGGTGCGGACCCATCACAAGAAATGGTGACAGTACCATCTTCACAGGTAAGGTCAAGCCCAAAGAGTGCTCCAGGGACATCACCCTGTTGCCCCTGCACCGCAAGTCCTGAGCTTAAACCACAGCTAGGGTGAAACTGAATCATCCAGCTCAACAGGTGATTGGAAATGTCTCGGATCGAGATGAAAACCGAAGACAGATTCGGGATGAGGTATCACATATGTGTTATGTTTTTTAATTGAACCTAAGAATTTAAAGAGCCTTGCTAGATGATAGTTGGGCTCAATGCTATGCATGAAGAGTTAGGTCAATTTGAACGTAACAAAGTGTGGACTCTAGTTCCTAGCCGTAAGAGACATGAATGTGTATGATAGGAATCTCTCCTCTTTTG